CCCCCCCACGGCCTGTCCCCGCATCCCTCCCCCCCCAACACCCCGTTTTGGGGACAGCCAGAGCCCCTCCCCATGAAAAGTGGGGCTCCCCGGTGTTGGGTGGGGGGGGAGGTGGGTGCTGAGACCCCACACACTCATGACATGGCCGTGACCCACGAGGGGGTCAGTCCTGAGTCATGGGCCCACCCCGGGGACCCCCATCTTGGGGAGGGGGGTGTCCAGCCAGTCCCCACCCCCAGGATGGGGAGCAGTGGGTTGTCACCTGCGCATCCCCCCCCCAAAGCCGGACCCCCAGGTGCCAGTAGCCACCGGGCCACCATCCCCAGCCCTCTGCCACCCACTGGGCCGTGCTGGCAGGGGGACACGAGACCCCTTGAGCTGTGCCGTGTCCCCCCCCGTCCTGCTGCCACCCACCCACCCCTGGCACCCCCGGTGGCACCGGTCCCTGCCGGGGAAGGCCTGAGCCCGTGGCCGTTTGTCCCCAAACGGGGCTGGAAATCCCTCGGAAGCTTCCGCCACCGGCTGCTCCCGGCACAGACACCGGCCACGGCAAGGCCAGCGGTGGCCACCGTCACCGGAGGGGCTGGGGGGGGACAGGACCCACTCTGGGTGGTGGGTACACGGGCTGCCGGCACGGCGTGGTGGTCTCTGGCATGGCACGGGGCTACCTGAGGGGGTTGTGTGGCTACCGGACGTGATACACGACAACCTGATACAGTGCGTGGCCACCTGATAAAGTATGTGGTGACCTGACTTGGCGTGTGGCTACCTGACGTGGTGTGTGGCAACTTGAGATGGTGTATGGCTACCTGACATGGCGCGTGGCTACCTGACATGGTGTGTGGCGACTTGAGAAGGTGCGTGACTACCTGACATGGTGCATGGCTACCTGACATGGTGTGTGGCAATTGGAGATGGCGTGTGGCTACCTGACATGGCATGTGGCTACCTGACATGGTGTTTGGCTACTTGATATGGTGCATGGCTACCTGACATGGTGTGT